GTCGACTAAAATTAATATGAAAACTGTTTTTCGCACACTTTTTTTGAAAATTGTTTTTGCATGTATTTTCCCGTGGTGAATTTGGCCTATACATTTTTCCACATTGACCTTTTAGAATCATATAGGGGTATTTCTCATTCACTCATCTTGGTGGTAAAATACTTAATGTGTTACTAGTTAATGTGTTTCCTATTTTTATTTATTTTTTGTCAAGTAGCTGCGCATCTATTTCCAACCTCCAAACGGCGTTGTACTCATTCGGTACACTGATGAGCTTCTTGCGACACCTTTTGAGGTTTGCTCTTCGGAGGCCACAAGGTGGCTCGTTTGACTTTTTTTTCCAGACGGTTTCAAACGGAAAGGTAAAATTACAATGTGCTCGCCGTAATATTTTTGGGAGATTTGCACAGCGATGTCGGCTTTTCTCGTGCGGCCAAAAATATCCAAATAAAGCAGCGGTCAAGCTGCTTTATTTGGATATTTTTGACAAAGAAAACCCAATTTCTACCGGTCTTTTTCAGGAAAGACAGGGGGAAAGTGGATGACGGATTTTGACCTACGTCAGCATGCAATTGGACCCATATCAAACACGAGAGATTCAGCATGCGTCGGATGTACGGCAACATTTGGCAGATTTTGACAAAACGGTCACGTTGTGTTCAACAGTCCCTTAAATTGTCCCTACTTGTTACAGTGGTTGCATTTGTCTGTTCGAAAGCGTTTACAATGTCAGTAGAACGAAGTGAGAAATTAGACAAGACTAAACTTGAACCCGATCTGACATACAAATCAGAAGTGATAGTTATTTTGCATTTTACTTTAAAAGTGTTTTTGAACACAGCAAGTGTTCTGGCCAGCGTTGTGGCCAATATGATTGTCAGGAATGGGCTGAAGAAAAGAAAAATAATCACAAATCTGAAAGAAAAATGGGATACGTAAGTGCACGGCGCACACCACAAGCGCTGATGACAAAACAGCAAAAGATGCGGCTTCTAAATATTTTGGAGGGGCAACATTGCTGACTGTAAGCGATGGGATAACATTTTGTCAACTGAATTCTATTTCATATGCGGCAGTAAATTCCAATCAATGAACAAAGATAAAAGGGGACTGCATTGCAAGGTGGGGTTTATGTCAGCAATGACAGTGAACCCGTTTTGCCCAAAATTATTTTTGCGTCATGGATTATCTCACGTGTCGGCAGGAGGAATGATGTCTCTGGTTCGGGAACATTATACAACCTACTGTTTTAACCTACATCGAGAACACGTGTGAACAGAGTAATTGATGAAATTGAATGCATGCTTCTTATTGATTTGAGATACCATTGCTCCTGCCATCCACAATCTCCAGAATTCGTGGGGAGTATAAATTCTACAGTTAAAATTCAATTGAAGAAATGCATGGATGAAACACCCTGGAAACTATGCATCGATTTAGTTAAATGATACTAAGATAAATTGATTATATAATTTGTGGAATTACATGTATATAATTTGTAAAAAAAAAAAATCTATCTTTCTCTATCTATCTATCTATCTATATACGTATATGTGTGTGTGTGTGTAATCATATTATTTGTTTGTATTAACTATTCATTAATTTGGCTGATTATATGCAAGAAACTCAAGACACCGACCTCATTTAGGGTGTATTTCTGTCGACATGCTAGAATATCGATGATTGCGTGTCCCCATTTCCTGTTACACTAACATATGGACAACTGCACTGATCTTCTTTTTCTGGTATTTGTGTTCTCCTTTTGCACATGAGAAAGGGGATGTATTTTTGAATAATAACCTACATTTTGCTAATAGAGCTAGACCGGGGGTGTCAAACTCATTTTCATTGCGGGCCGCTTTGGGGTTGCATCTTCCCTCTACAATGATAAAATAATGTATTTATAACAACAAATTGATGAACCACCAGTTTTGAAATCAGTCAAATTAGCTATAATAGTTTGTTCAGTTATTGTTTGAGTGAGTGTTAACCAGGTGACAAAATTATCACAAAACCTCGACATTATTTGTTATACATGAAAATTTGACATTTCGGTACTAAGTTTAGAAAGGGTCATGAAAGTTGACGTGCGTGATATACTTTCATGGGCCACATAAAATGATGTGGCGGGCCGGATCTGGCCCCCGGGTTTCGAGCTTGACACCCGTGATCTAAACGATCATTAAAAAAAAATAGCACAAAATCTTTGATTCTTTTTTTTTTGGGGGTCGAAGTGTTTTATGTTTTGTGCTCCTGAGTTAATGTTGCCGTACTGAATTCGAATTTATTATTGTTGATTAATTTATTTAATTTTATTTTTCAGAATGGTGGAATAGTTTGAATCGTGCATTAATTTGATCGAAAATGTTTAAAAATATATATATACAAATATATTTTGTTCACTTACTTTTTGTTTGGTGTTGTATTGATGTGTCTAGGATCTTTTCTGTTGCGGTCGAACAAACAATGCTAATATAGTTATTCTTCGCGATGAGTTGTACTATCCGGTATCAAGTACGACTTTATTGTCAAATGTGCTGCGTGTGCAACATACATACATACATACATTTCTATATATATATATATATATATATA